CCTGCAAGTTGTTCAGTGGGTTTTGTCACCAGACAACAGAAAATTCCTTGATTAAGTCACCGTTATTATATCCCTATTTCCTTTTCTTGGAGAGTTTTTCCCTACCCTTTCCACAACTGCCAATCACTTATCAGATCTCATTTCTCCCTGGTACTTAAAGAAATGTCTCCAGACACCTAATCCTAATTCTTACTGTGGATAGTACCCTTCCAATAATTTTGCTTACGCTTCCTTTAGATTTAATTCGTCTCATTTAAAACACAGGAAAACACTGAAACAAGCACCTCACCTTGACTTTTCCCTCCAGATCTTTTCTTCTGTTTTGCCTCAAAGAGTCAGGAGCTGCAGTTACCATTTATCCATGTCATTCTTGCAGCAAACTACTGAAATCTGACTTCTACCCATTAAATTGCTATCCTCAGCTCAGTAAGAACATTTTTATTTTTGTGGTTCTATGGAACGTGACGGAGGCCTTGTGCATGCTCCTCGATACCTGTTCTGCACCTGAGTCACATGCCCAACCCTTTTTATTTTGAGTCAGGGTCTCACTAAGTTGCCCAGGCTGGCTTTGGACTTGTAATAGTCCTGCCTCAGCCTCTTCAGGACTGAAATTACAGATGAGCGCCATCACAAAAAACATGCAAGATTTAGATAGGGGCAAAAGAACCCCAGTAGTGAAAGGCAGATGTGCTAATGAAGAGAGGCCATTATAGACTCCAGATCCCAAGGGTGGAGTAGGTGGGTATCTGGTTCTCTGACTGATTTGTGACCGAGCAGGATAGATAGTCTACAATGGTGCAAGTGTAGACACAACGGCCACCTGACAGTGTTTCCTGTGCCATGGAAATAACTTCATGATAGTAGTCAGGATAATTCCACATGATCCCTGTTCACAGCCGCGCACATGAAAAGTGCTCACAAAGAATTTCAATCTCTCCAAGTCAAAGTGGACAAGTTTTTAACACCTTGCACATTTCCTATTTAGTAAATGAATTGAATAAAATCTATGACGTGCGAGTCATTGTGCCTGAGAGACATGATTTTATCTTGTCAAAAATGACATTTTAACCACCCGAAGACAGTGCATCATCCTCAGACTTCCAGGACCTAACACTTTCTAGATCTTATCCTGTCTCTCTGGGCACTTCTCAGCCTCCGATGACGACAGTCTTTCCTTTTGTTCCTCTTCAATGTTGCAACTCCCCTGGGTTCTTTCCCACAGGTGTCACAGACTGGGTTGCAAGCCCTTGGCACAGTTTATGCTTTGTTAATGCTCAGCAAGGCTAAGCTTGTGATGGCACACTTTGTCCCCACCATGCCACTTTTTATACTGCTGAAATTATTAATTCTCCCTGTGTAAAGGATAGGTCCTATGTACATTAAACAGTGCAATGTGGCACCTAGAGGAAGACACCTGAGTAAGGAAGAAGGAACCACTGGTCCTCTGACATAGTCTGCCATCATGAGAATATTTTTTTAAATATTTAAAAGTCTCCAAACAAGGGCTGGGGATTTAGCCCAGTGGTTCTGCCGCCTGCCTGGCAAGTACAAGGTCCCAAGTTCGATCACGGGCACCCCCCAAAATAAAAGACCCCAAACAACCCTGACTCCCAGTCACCAGTAAAGTTCTGGGGCACAGTCTCCCACTTGCCAAAGCATGGCCTCTAAGACCCTATATACCAGTCACTGGGGGAACAGGATGCAGGAGCAGTGGCGCTGTTCGATGGAAATATGTGCAAACCACCCTGGTACTTTTTAATTCTCTGCAAGCCGCACAAAAGCAGTGTTGATCACATAGTTATAAGTTAACATCTTTAGGATATATTTAATAAGGTGTCAAAAATATAATAACTTCAATATATAAGCTATATGAAACTTATTAATGTGGTGTTTTACATTTTTATTCATCCTAAATCTCTGAAATACTATACTTAACTGACAGCTGGGCTTACATCTGTTTGGACTGGCCAGGTTTCAAGAGGTCAAAGGCCACATGTAGCCAGTGGCTGCTGCCTGGGAAAGGCAGCGAGAACAGGGAGGCTGAGAGAACTGAGAAGTCAGTGGGACCCAGTGACACAGTAAAAGGGCGACTTTCATTCATTTATTTTTTAATTTATTTCTTGGGGGGGTACTGGGGATTCAACTTGGGTCCTTGCGCTTGCGAGGCAGGTGACAGAACCACTGAGCTAAATCTCTGGCCCAACCGGGCAGCTTTTAAAAGTGTAGCTCTTACAGCCTTTCTCTTTCTTCTAAAAAGTGTCAATAAACAGCTTCAGTGACTTCCTGTTGTTATGCAATAAAGGCTAAATTCATTAAAATGATTTTTTAAAAAAAGCTTAGTGCTTTGGCCTTTTCTTAACTTCTTCAGCTAACTCTAGGTGATGAACAGAGGCAATGGATAATAGTAGGACTGCAAGAGAAGCAGAGAGCTAAAGGGTTTACCCTCCCACACTCCGCCTTGACCCCAGTTGACCCCAAGGCCACCAAAAACTTGGCAAAGCCTGGATCTGGCAAGAGCCACTCAGTAGGTTAGCCCTGGGACAAACAACAGACTAAAACATAAAGTGAAGCTACCCAGGCATTAGTGGGCTAAGTCCAGCAGGAAATGCAGTGTGCTCCTAGGGTCAAGAAGCCTTTGTAGAGCCATCACACAAATATTAAAAAGTATCCGCTTATTCATCCAGCTTGGTGGTACGCGCCTATGATCCCAGCACTTAGGAGGCTGAGGCAAGAGGATCACCGTGAGTTTGAGGCCAGCCTGGGGTACACAATCAGTTCAAAATCAGCCTAAACTACATAGTGAGACCTTGTCTCCAAAACGAACACAAACAAACAAAAATCTGGTTGTTCATACCTGAAACAAGCAAGCTATTATAATGCACTTCAAAAGAGCTACTCAACACAAAGGGACAGTATGATCAATGTCATTAACAAATTCAAATTCCAGTTTAAAAATGAAATTCTATTTGAATCATAGTTACCAGCATCAGGAAGGTTATGGGAAGCCGGTGAGCAAGGCCAGGGGACCAGGGGTGGAGCTGGATGGGAAGAGTAACTTCTTTTGTTTAATAGCAAAGCACAATAATTTGTTGGCAACAGCGATTTATATATTTCAAAATAACAAGTAGAGAAAGTGTTGAAGGTTCTCCCAAACAAATTCATCTGATCTAATCATTAAACATTGCATATATGTATTGCAAAGTCACACTGAAATAAACTGATGTGATGCAATAAATTGATAATTACTATACATCAATTAAAAATAAAAAACAATATTGAAATTCCATTTGATACTCAAACTGCGCAAGCTGCATGTATATCCAGAAAAAGTAAAGTTACAAAAACAAAAAAGCATGGACAGACTACATACACAACTTATCCACAAAATTTTACCAGAAGAAATCTTAAAACGGAATGGATATATTATTTCTAAAATGCATACTTCATAAATATCATATCTGGACTCGAGTGCATTTATTATTCACCACTACTTAATAAGTAAGCAGGCAGAATTTTTAAAAATGTATAAAGAATGCAAGTGTTAGTGATTCCTATTTAAATATGAAATATCTGTTCAAATCATGACTCATATGCTTAGAAAATAAAAATTATTTGATATTTAATATGCCATTGTGCTTCTTAAAACATGAGTTAATAACTATAGTGTCCTTTCTTAAATAGAATACCACTAAAAAATCAAATATTTTAATGATTATATTATTTATAACAAAAATTAAAACTGCTTTAATAATAAGAGTTCACTGGGCCGGGAATTTAGCTCAGTAGTTCTGCAGCCTGCGTTATAAGTGCAAGATCCTGAGTTTGATCCCAGGTACCCCCCCCAAAAAAAAGAGTTCATTAAACATTCATTTTGTATCCAAGAGGCTAAGGGAAATTTTCTAGTACATAAAGAAGAACAAGAAAAAAAATGTTGGCAGGTTATGCGACATTTACAGAGTGTAAAGAATTTGGCTTTGGTGAGAGGAATGAGATTCTTTTAAATGTTCTCCAAACACAAGCAGCCACATGTCCCATCACAGATAATTATCAGGAAGTACAGGATAAAAGTGTATTTCCCACTGAATTAATAAAAAGGGAGTAGCCTATACAGTGACAGTAAAAAAGAGTAGGAAGAATCACACAAAGAATGCAGACACCCACAAATTAGAAGTGTGTGATTTCTAGGATATAAAAGTAAAACAAAAAAAATGGAGCAGAACAGGACTTATTATGAGCTACCTTTTGTTTAAGAAAAGGAAAAATAAACAGACATGAAGCATTCCTAATCCAAAAATTCTGAAACTTGGAATGCTCCAAAGTCTCAAACTTTTTGAGAACTGCCATGATGGTACAAGTAGCAAATTCTATATCCAACTTCATGTGACAAGTCAAAGTCAAAAGCAAAAGCACCAGAAACTGCATAAAATACCCTTTTACCTAACTCTATGTATATAAGATGTATATGAAACATAGTTTCATTTTTAGATTTACATCCCATCTCAAAGATAGCACTATGAATTTGCAAATATTAAAAACTCTATGAAATCCAAAACACTTTTGTTCCCAAGCATTTCAGGTAAGGAAAACTCAACTTGTATTTTCTAATGTGAGAAGGATGAATCAGGAGTATGGAAAAACTAAAATGGAGTAAAAAACAGATAGAAAGGAACCAAATACATCAAGTTGGTAACAAAAAAGAATTAATTCCGCCACTTTTAACCACAATACCTTGACTGGACAGCCAGTAGGATACATCCTAAAAAGAAGTGCTACAATATTTTAACTTTACTCAGTTTATTGGTGGTCATAGAAGGACATCAAAAAATTATATCCACTTTAGGGTTAAGTAGATAAATACATGCATGGTATGGTGAATCATTAGAAACTTGGATTTTTATCATAAGAGATAAAATATAAATACAAAATATTAGAAGGCAAAATTTTAAAAAAGTGAACGCAAGTGATCCAACCAGAGCCAGTGGCCAGCAGACAGGACTTACCTCTTGGCAGTACTGCAGGATACCCTCCTTGCTACCGATGCAGGTTTTGGTCCCTGAAGGATCCGGCTCCCACTTCCCATTCTGCACATTCATGTGCATGTTCAGTTTCCCACAGAACATGGCGATCTGGGGCTCTGCCAGCAGGCCGGCATTGCCATCAGTGGGCACCTAAAAAATAAATAAATTCATGAATAAATACAGAGACGTTTCAGTTAGTTATAGAAGCCATGGCTCCAAGGTGGAGGTTGGGAGAGGAACAAGGAATTGTGGGACAACATGAAAATGTTCTATCCTTGCTAGTTCTCAATTATGTATTAGCCTTGTCTTAAGATTTCCTCTGGGTTGTTATAAGCTACAGACTTTTCTAACCACCTGTGACACACTGAGTTCTTTTACACTGAAATGAGGGAAGAAATTAACAACACTGAAAGGAATTTATTCATTGAACAGTTACACATTTTTCCATAAAAGATTTAGCAAAAACTGCTGAAAGATTCCCACCAGTAACTAAGATTTTTTTTTTCTGAAATAAATATAATCATGGTGATGGAAATCACATCCTCATAATAACTACCAGCAGGTTCGCACAAAGCTCAGTGCCAGGCCTTGACTGATGATCAGGTCTGGAGGCAACAGCGTGTGCCACTTCTCAGCACTGACAGCAAGGTGTTATTATTGGTGTACCTGATTAGTCAGCCAGGTTGCACTCTGCTTTGGGGGCATAAAAATTCACTGAAGAATTCACCCTCCACAAATGTAACTGAATACGTCAGCCATTTTACTTGGTTTTTCTCCAGAACATTCTCTGATTTACTGTCTCAGCTCTTATGTTAAGGGTGCCTGTTTCATCCCCCCACATCACCACAAGAAGCCAACAACATCTCATTCTGTGTCCTGAGCGCAGAAAGTTGTTTCAGTTATGACCACTGCAGACAGTAAGCTGCTGCACAGAAATTGGAAATGGTGCCTTCTGTATTTATAATCCCTCCTGTGTGCAGGTATTACCTTTAGATAAATATTTTTAAAAGGGAAAATGGAAGTTCTGAAATATATGTTCTACCTCACTCAATAGGTTCTGTGAGAAATAAAAAATAAATTGACAAGAATAAAAGAGTTACTTGAAACCAAGGAATCAAAAGACACATTAAGCACAATTCCTCCTTGTTAAATCCAGCTGCGGAGGAAATGTGAGACCTTCAAGCCCTGAGGAACTAACTTCTAACAAGAGCCTTCAGGTAGTCACGTCCTGGGTGATTCCACAGTGATCTCAAACATCCCCAGGAAGTATTAAGACGAGAAAAAAACTAATACTAAAATTTCATGGAGAGACTTCAATTAAAGAAATGTAGTTTTTCCTGACATGTCTTACCTCGGAAATGCAAAGTAGATCAAACATCTGCCCATTCAAATCATCCTCACATGTATTGTATCCAAGCACAACCGAAGATTTTTATCGTTTTTAAAACAAGAACTAAACAGGTCTTGCACTGAAACTAGTCATGGGTGAAACAGCTTCTGGCGAAACCTCTAAAAATCCTATCTTCCGGGACCCTTGTCTATCTTTCACAAATTTTTGCTTGAACACTGCCAGACGTTTAAGTCCTTCGTTTCAAACAGCAGCTAAGAAGACCACAATGGCAGATCATCTGCACAACTGCTGGAGCCCCTCCACTCCAGCCCCTAGCCCACTGCCACCTCCTACAACTTGCATAAAAAATGAGTCTCATTCAACACAGAGTGCAGAGAAACAACCTACAGAGAATGCTCTTCAAATTTAAACTTCACAGCTCTCCTGAGATTATTCAATACTTCCATTTTAAAATTCAGATTGCAAATTTTACAAAATTTTATTGAATAAAGAAATAACAATACGGCAAGAAAGTTAAAGAAAAGTCAAACAGTAATCTGTCAGACACTTGCGGATGGGGCCTTGTAGTAGCTGCTTACGAAGGTACTGTCCTGGAGAAATTTACAGCCCATTAGTGGAACCCTCTGTATTGTACACAGTACTTTATTCGGCACAACCTTCAAACATATTTTGGTCTCAAAGATTTAACAGAGCTAGAAGCCTCTTGTTACCTTATCCCTGACTAAAAAGAGATTAATGAACTTTCCCCTCAGTTGATAAGTAGCTGTTGGATGAATTCCATCCTCAGATCTCAAAATTTCCCTGTTCCTCTTTTTCCTCAATCTGTTCTCTATATTGTGTAAGGGATGTGTTCTACCTTCTGGTCAGCACAAATGCCCTTGACTCCATTTCCCCCTTCAAAGAACATCTGACAGTTTCTCTCCTCTCTTCCTTATAGCCACGCCCCAAGAAGGCCTCTCATTCCCCTCCTATGCCGATATCCACAACCTTGGGTGGTCTCTTCCCTGAAAGCAACAGGTTTTATCTGTGCAACAAGTAGAAAGTGGCAGAAATGATGATGTGTGGCTATCAAAGCAAGGTCACAAAGGGCATCAATAGTGCTTCATTGATTTCAGGGATCACTTGCTGTGAGAAAGGCCAATTGCTACATTGTGAGGACACTCAACAGCTTTAGGAAGAGGCCAGGGAACTAAGATCTGTCGAGAGCCAGCTGAGCTGAGCTTGGGAAGCCTTTCACCCCTTCTTAAGCCTGCAGTCCTGGCTGACAACACAATTGGAGCCTCAAAGGGACCCCAAACTCAGAACCTCCTACATGGGGTTCCCAAATTACTTACAGAAACTCACATGATAACCACTGTTTAAACCAGTAAGATTGGGGGCTAGGGATTTGGCTCAGTGGTTCCTCTGCCTGCTTCATAAGTGCAAGGACCCGTGTTCAATCCTTGGTACCAAAAAAAAAATGATAAACCAGGAAGGTTGGGATAAGCTGTTACACAGCAATAAGATATCAAGTCACACCCCCTTGTCTCAAGCTCTTTATTACAGCTACAAATGATCACTACTCTCCACTATTGAAAGCAGGAAACAATAAACAATAAAATTCCTCCCATTCTATTTATGGGAGAGAGCAAAGGGTCAGCAACTTTTGGAAGAGGGCCAGATAGTGTCTTAGATTTTGTAAGCCACACAATCTCTTTTGTGACTACATAATCCTATCATTATATGGTAGCACTGCAATAGTCTTAGACAAGGGGTATGGAGAAAAAATAAGAACCAAGATCTGTCATGTAAAGGTACAAAATCCCAATGATGAACGTAACCGATGAACGTACACTTTAAAAAGTACCAATGGCCTGCCTCGCAAGCACAAGGAGCCGAGTTCAATACCCGGTACCAAAAAAAAAAAGTACCAATAAACTCAATAAAAAAGAAAAACATAATCTTAGACAATATATAAATGGGTGTGGCTTTTTTCCAGTAAAATTTCATTAACAAAAAAGGCAGTAGACCAAATTGACACACGGTGCTACAGTCTGTTGAAATTTTGTTCTACAGCAATCAGCTTCCATTTCTGTCACTGATCATTAATATTAAGTCACTTTGTGATTTACACATTCACTGTCAACACATTCCCATCTGCCTCTAAGACGCCATAACTTGGTTTACATTCCCATGGCTAACCTGTAACTGCTTCTCAAAGACCACATATGATTCCTCCCTGAGAAACCAAACAGGCTTTTTCTTAGCACCTGTCCCCTCTCCCCTTCTTTGCCACACATTAAGTCCTCCTTGGAAGCCTTTTCCCCTGGCTTCTGTCAAGATGAATTATCTTGGTTTTGACTTCTCTCTGTATGTCTACTGATGCCCTATCCCTCAACTCCACAGCTAAGGTTTTCTGCTAAAGACAGGACTGCTGCTTGTTTTTTGTTTGTTTTGTTTTTCACCTGCTTTAAAAAGTCTTACTGACTTCACTCTTCCAATTCCTAGCTGCAGAGAGACAATACCAGGGAATTAGGTAGTTTTGGGGGCAAAACTAAATAAAACGAAGTTCTAGCACTGATAATTGGATGACAAATTTCCCCAGTTTATGGCAGACTGAAGTGTTTACAGCATGACAGATTTCTGGTACTAAAACCAGAAAAGTCTTTGGCAAGAATAGGACAGTTTGGCACCCTATCTGACTAACTTATAAAATACATGCTTCCTCAATTTTTAAAAATCTTGATTCCTTAATTTCCTTTTATGTTTTCACTTTGTTATCCTTCCCTCTGGACTTAACAATTATTTTAATGCCATCTGTTTGCATATGCGTATGTGTGTTGATTATCAAATGGTGGTAATCTTTTCCATAGTTCCACAAGTAAATGGATTATGACCCTTCAAATAAGTTGATTATGTAATAATATCCTCATTTTAACATATTAGCTTAGACTACAAAGCATATGCTTCTCAGGTTTTCCACCAGATGAGATTTAATATTTACTTGCTGAACAAATGTATGGAAAAATCTCGATCATTAACATGCCCTATGTCTATAAAGTAGGTATAAGTTAATAGTTTAAACCTTGATTCCTCTATAATTACAGCAAATTACTGAATGAGAAATTATATTTATATACACATCTTGTCACATTTGACATTACAGGAAGTTCTTTACAGATGAGTACTTAAATCACAAAACCACTTTTCTCAAGCAAAATCCTTTACCAAATCTACAGCTGTGTATATGACAGAGCAATTAACTTGGAGAAACAAACTGAACCAGGAAGTCTTTCAATTCTTTCTGAAGCCCACAGAACAGAATACCACGTTTTAGGTAGCGAATCTTGGCAAGACAACTCACCTGCATCCAATAACCCATCTGAGACAAGGCCTGGTTGGTACAAACAGCACCCTGTGTCTCTCAGCCAAGAGGAAAGCATCATCTCTGCCACATGGGAGATAATGCTGGGCCATCAGTATTGCAGGGTGGGAACATGTTTACTCAAACATCTTTTCCTGAATGAAGCATTTGCAAGCTCCTGTTCAGGCTCTATCCATGCAGACAATGATTCATAAAATTAAAATCTTTGGGTCCTAAACTATTTGCTGTCAGTAAAAATGCCCTTCCTTCCCTCCTCCCTTTCTTTCTCTTTCCCTTCCTTCATTTTTTTTTCTTTTTCTTTCTGTTTCTTTCTTTCTCTTCTTTCCTCCCTCCCCACCCACTCTTTATTTGCAGACAGGGTCTTACTACTAGTTTTAGCTGTCCTTGAACTCACTATATAGTGCTGGCTGGCTGGCCTCAAGCACTACATAGAAC